GCGCAGAAAAGGGTCAGGAGCGTGTCTTGGAGGAGAGGGTTGTTCCCCAGTCTTTCCTGGACGCCCTGGAAAAGGTCATTAGTGATAGTGTCTCTGGCATAGAGTCGCATTACCTTCGTTCACTCACCACACATCCGCTCGGTGGCCCAACCCTGCAGCTTCTTCTCAAGCTGGAATTGGCGCATTTCGGAAAGTCTCGAGCCAAGAACGAAAAGTCTATCATTCACCGACTGCTTCCTGACAACCCCATTGCCGAAGGAACTGAAAGCGCCATCCTCATCAACGGTCTGGTATATGACACGGTAGGATCCCGCCTGTTGGAAACAATTATCGAGAACGCGCCGGGTAAATTGTTCAAGGCCATCTATGGAGAATTCTTCAAAGAGCGCATGGGCAACTTGTCACGCAATGAAATCGCGGGATACGTGGTAGGTAAGATTCTTGAGAGGCTCGGCAAAGACGACCTAGAAGAAGCTATGCGCCAAATCGTCGACCAGATTCCCAGCCTAGTCGAACGCAACCGAACCGCTGTCATCAAAGTGCTCATTGAGCGCTGTGTGGCACGTGAAGTCAATTGCGCACCCATCACAGCACAACTTGAGGCCGCTTATGCTGGTTCGAACGGCTTTGAAGTCACCCGCATCCTTCGACTAAATGAAGAAGAGGGAAAACTACGCGCCAGGCATGTTCAGTCACCGGAAAAGGTTCATGGATCTCTGCTAGCACAAACCATGATGACCGTTGATGGACCCCTTGGTCAGCTTGTGTTTGACTCTCTTGCCAACTTGTCGCCTGAGCTTGCCACTCAGCTGGCTCGTGACCCAACAGCATCCAGGACACTTCAAGCAGCATTAATGTCAGAGAACGCGTCCGTCATCTTCCGCCGCAAGATGATCCAGCTATTTTACGGTAAAATTGGTGAGCTTGCACTCGACCCAGCAGCATCGCACGTCATCGACGCAATCTGGCAGGGCACAGCCGGTCTGGCCTTTATCCGCGAGCGCATCGCCGAGGAGCTGGCGGAAAACGAGAGTTCACTGCGTGAATCTCATGTAGGCCGTGCCGTCTGGCGAAACTGGCGCATGGATCTCTACAAGCGTAGGCGTAACGATTGGGTCACACAATCCCGCTACACAGCCGGCAATCAAGGCTTCCAGTCATTCCCAGAGGGCACTAGTGATGCGCCTCAAAATCCCAAGGCGGGCAGGCAGCTGACAGCTATTGAGCTGGCAAGGCAGAAGCATGCAGCTGCAAAGGCTGCACAAGGAAAAGACGGCAAAAAGTCCAAGAAGGGAAGCCAAGCTACAAACGGTAGCGTGAGCAGCGGGAGTAGCAGCAAAGGCAAAAGTGTTGCGGCACAATGACAATGGCGACACCACGTACATGGCGTGGGGTATTTTCTATATCAGGCTGCTTCATCACTCTGGCGTTAGATAAGGTGGATCTGTTGTAGTGGTTGATTTGGATGTTTGGTTTTTGATTCGATGATCGTAGATACCTTTCTTAGTGGCATAATTTGCATGTGCGATTACGCATTTTTGGCGGACCAGGAATGGTCAGCTCGATTAAAAAATCCATGACTGCATGTTTGCCATTTGCTCAGGTAGCCGGCACTAATGCCGATTAGCTCGGGCAACTTTGCGCGCCATTTCTGTGCCGTGATTTTTGCTCCTACACATCACCACCACAGTTCTTTTCAATCCAATCCTTGCACTGACCTTTTTCGAGCTTGAATTGCTTCAATTGTCTGACGACTTGTGTCATGTCTTCCATACCCGGAAATACGCCTCTCAATAGGGCTGATGAAGTCAAAGATGTAAGTTCCTCGGAACCATTTTCCGACCATTCCGACAGCAAATGTTGTGTAACTCACTGCACATCGATGATGACTCCAATTCATCATTCGCCCCCACCAGATAGCATGATGTTAACACTACCACCAGCTTCTTGATGCTATCCAGGAGTTGATCATCCCGTTCATTCGCTCTGCAGACGAAGATGCTGCCACTAAGCACACCGGACATAGTCTGCGAATAGAAGGTAGTGGTGGCCCAAGAACTACAATTGTTGAGCATCACCCTCCCAAGAAACTGGAATCGATTCTCAGTGAAGAGTTGGAAATCAATGACAAAAAAGTTGGGAAAGATGGACTAGTCAAGCTGGTGAGCACCGTGTTAAAATATAGCGTCAACACTTGGGATCAAGGGTTCCTGGACAAATTATATGCGAGTACGAACGCTGTGGGTGTAGTCAGCGAGCTGCTTTTGGCTGTGCTGAACACAAATGTAAGTTTTTTCTCTTGCTTAGGCAATCGGGTACTAACTCTCTCCAGGCCCATGTCTACCACGTCTCGCCCGTACTAACCCTTGTTGAAAAACGAACAACAAAGTACCTAGCTTCTCTCTTTGGCCTCCCAGAGAAGACTTGTGGAGGAATCTCCCAACCAGGTGGCAGTGCCGCCAACGCCTCTGCCATCGTCATCGCTAGAAACACTCTATTTCCAGAGACCAAAACTGACGGCAATGGAACTCACAAATTTACCCTCTTCACCTCAGCTCACGGCCACTACTCCGTCGAAAAGGCCGCCAACCTCTTCGGCCTCGGCTCTAAAAACGTCATCGCCGTCCCTGTCGACGATGATGGCCGCATGATCCCCTCTGAACTCGAGCGCCTCGTCACCGAATCCAAGACCCGCGGCGAAACCCCCTTCTTCGTCAACGCCACAGCAGGCACCACCGTCCACGGCTCCTTCGACCCCTTCCCCGCCCTCTCTTCAATCTGCAAATCACACAACCTCTGGCTCCACATCGATGGCTCTTGGGGCGGTAGTGTTATCTTCTCTCCTACCTACGCCCCTGCGCGTCTTGCAGGCTCCCACCTCGCAGACAGCATAACCGTTAATCCACATAAAATGCTCGGCGTCCCCATGACTAGCAGCTTCTTGCTCGGCAGAGACATGAATTCCTTTTACCACGCCCTTACGCTCCCCGCAGGCTACCTCTTCCACAACGCCCCCGGCACAGATGCACAGGATATATACGACCTAGCAGACTTGACACCCCAGTGTGGTCGCCGCGCAGATAGTTTGAAGTTCTTCCTCGCACTGCAATATTATGGCCCCCAGCATTTCAGCGACTTGGTCGACAGAGCCTACGACAACGCAGAGTATCTGCTGCAAAAACTCAAGGATAGCGGCAGTTTCAAGACGATTAGTCCGGAGCCGCTGCCTTGTTTGCAAGTGTGCTTTTACTATGCCAAGGGTGGGTTGGTGAGCGAGGATTCGGAGAAGAATAGTCAGGCTACGACGGAGATTGCGCACAGATTGGTAGGTAGGGGGTTCATGGTTGATTTTGCGCCCGGTGAGCAAGGCAAGTTTTTTAGGGTTGTGGTGAATGGTAATGTGGGCAGGGGGACACTGGATGGCTTGGTGAAAGCGATTGAGGATGCGGCAGCGGAGTTGAGGTTGTGAGAGTAGAAGGGCGAGGTGGGTGGGTTTCCGCCTTATTCGTTTTGCGGTTCAACTGGGAGGATTGTTGTTATAGAATACTTATGTGATGGTAGATGTAAGACGTAGAGTAAACAAGAGCATCTCATAGAAAATGGGAATACATAGTTAGACTGCCTATGCCAGCAAGACATTCACATTCCTCACGAAAAAGAAATTCAGGACACGTATCAGTGAGTCGTGTTAAAAGTAATGTTAATGGTATTTGGCTCTTGTCGGTTTCCATGCGCTGGTTCATGTTAAAGATTGTTAATGATGTTCAAGATGTTCTGTCGCAGCAATGAAATGATTCATTGGAAAATCAGGGTATCTATACTACATGTGTGCTGCAAACCCATCGTACCTCATACTTGCATAATCTCATAATCGTACAAGGAACAAGCTGCCGTATACATGAATAGGGCACCAGGCCACACAACGACCTGATCCACATGGAAAGAAAGAAATCATAAGATACAGGCGTATACAGCCAAACAATGAGGAGGTGCAGACTCATCTCCACGACATTCCATCGAGCAGCGCCATACTGAAACCTTCATGTCACCAAGACACCTACCCGATGACGCCCCAGAAACGCTCGGCGTTGAAAGTAGATGCTGTATTGACCTTCCAGCTGGAATCAAAAGCGCTGAAGAGAAACATGTCGCCACTGAAAGATGCGCGGATCGACTGAAGAGCAATGCGCTGGTTCTCTGGCGAGGGGATAGCCTCACCGTTAGGGCTACCCTGGCGAGGCCAACCCGACTCGGTGACGACAACACGCTTATTGTTGCAGGCAGACTGTACACGTTCGACTTGGCTCTTGACGAAAGGACCCGCATCTGCTGCGTGTGTGTGCTGGTCAAAGAAGGCATGGATGTTGACCATGGCCACGTCTGAGGCTTCGCAGATAGACGGGTTGTTAATGGTAGCTGGTGCCGTCTCGACAGCGCCCACAGGGCCGTTGTAGCCAAGTTGTCGTAGCTGGGTACGCGCTCTACCGATTGCGTCGACAACCTGCGCTGCAGTCATCCTGCCCTCATTTACACGTTCGTTCTCCACTGTGAAGAGCTGTATGACGTCCCAGTTGCCGCCGGCATGCTGATCGATAGCAGTCTTGTAGGCTTTAATGACCTCGCTAACGTCTTCACCGCTACCACCTGCATCCAGGTACGCGCCGCTCATGAGCTTTTGGCCGTTCTTAAGCGCATTCTGAATACCAAGAGAGATCTGATTGCAGTCCATGCCGTACAAGCGAATCATCTTGAAGTCTCTCATCCTACTAAACTCGCTCGCGATTTCAGCCTCCGACTTACATTCTGATGAGCCAGTGTAGACATCCCAGGTTATACCCATAGGGAGGCTGCCCGCACTGAGATTTTCGGTTGGGGCAGGTGACGCAGGAGAAGAAGGCGGCGGCGGCGGCGGTGCAGCCGGAGGGGAAGGTGGTGCAGCTGGAGGAAGATACTGCTCCGCTGGAAGCAAGGACGACGGCGCCGGAGGAGAAGGCGGCTCAACTGGGGGAGATGGAGGTGCTGCCGGGGGAGAAGGTGGCTCAACTGGAGGCAGAGACGGTTCCACTGGAGGTGAGGAAGGTTCGACCGGAGGTGAGGAAGGTTCGACCGGAGATGAGGGAGATTCTGCTACGGAAGAGGATTGGGCTGCAGGCTCCAATGCCTCAGTGGTGACGGGTGCCGCAGAAGAAGACTCAGGCGCAACAGCTGGTGTAAGTGAAGCAGGAGTAGATATGACAGAAGCAATCGAAGAGGGAGTCGTCTTTGGTAGAGCGGCCTGAGAAGTGCTTGAAGACAGAACTGAAGACATAGCCATGACAGGGACCTTAACGGAAGTTGAGGTGGAAAAGGCTGCACCCCCTTCATCCACGTAGATGACAACTTCAGCGACCACCTCAGTCACATACACAACCTTGGTGACGAGTTCGCGCTTGTGGTCTAGACTCATTCAGTCAATGGGGTCTCGCCAATGGAGTGTATGACTTACAGAGAGGACGCCCGCTCGCGGAGCCCACCAGAAGGCCGGCAGCTGCCAGAGCACTCGCCAAAACGACAGTCTTCATGGTGAAGATGAATTGAACCTTATGAGATATTCGTGCTATACAGCCAATGCAAAAATTGCTGTGTGTCTGGTTGCGGTAGAGTGTTTGACTCGAGCACAACTCAAGTTGTCGGACAAGATACAAAAGAGTGACTGCCTGCAGTTGGCAAAAGGAGAGGAAGCCGGGCCACGCTAAGCGAAGAGATCGTGAAGCAAACCAGACAGTAAAGACTGTGTGCGAGGTGTTGTAGGTCAAGTGTAACAAGAGAGCTGGAGTGAGTGACCATATCCTCTTGCATGTCCTACCTCGCGCTTGGCAGTTTTGGGTCTAGCGCCAGCGCCGTTTGGTAATCGCGAACAGATAGTGAAGGGCGTTAGTATTCTAGACCATTGAGCAAACGAAATCCCAAGATTATGAACGCATTGGGTGAAGTGGTGAGGGGTAGGGGGGGCAATTACAATCTGGGGCAAGGAACAAAGACTGAAACACCAAAGTGCCTCAGGCGTTGGAGTTGAATCGTCAAAACGAATGAAGGCAACCGAGGATAGGAAATAGTTTCAAATCAAGCCGGGAAAATTATGCTGGCATTTTGACGTTTGAAGTGCTGTTTTTTTAATGAAAAGTAGGGTGGTAGTCGGTCACCTACCATGTATACCCGACAAGTGTAAACAGCAATACAACCATCATCAAAACGGGAACAGACAACGATGGAGGACGGTATCTTAGAATAGCCTAAGATACATACTCACTGATGAGCTTGCGAAGCTATGCATTCAGTACAAGAGCGGACTGCGACCATTCCGGAGCATGCTAATACACATTGTAACTGGTGTCGGCGCAAAGTAATGGATATACACCTTGGCGCTTCGAGACCAAGGCTTGGTACACGATGCTAGACGGAGCCATTTCTTTGGCCTATATTTTCCATATAGATCCCAGCCGAATCTGAGGCTACGTAATAAAACTTGAAGGGATTGAAGACAGCAATGAGATATAGGAAACAAAGACTCGAGGGCCAAACGGTTCTTGAGAAACGATGTGGCAGCTGTCCAGAATGATAGTTGCAAATAGGAGAACTCGCGATACCTGCAGCACTGAGTACACATATTTAGCAAGCATGAATCGTAACAGTCTTCTCGAAGGAATAAGTGGAGGAAGCCAGGTGTATTTGAGTCTCAGGTACTCGAGCCACATGAAACCAGCTGGAGACAGGGATTCCACCCTTGATACCATCAACTTCGCAAGTATACCGAGAGAATCCTAGATTAGATTGAAAAAAGCCATGTGATGACGCAGAAAATAGCCATTGCCAACTCTGCACGAAATGAGAGGAGAATATGTCATTCAGCAAGCTCCAGAAAGGCAGCCTGGCAAGCCACCGAAAGCGGGGGCACGTGTCCCACAAACCACGCTCACTTCACCTAGAAATCTAAGCCGCAGGGCCAAACCCACACTCGATACCTTCTTTTACTCCCCCCTTACTTTTGCTCTTTTTGAAAAAAAAGTAGTAGTAGCCGTTTTCTTACAGTTAGCGAGGATAGAGGAGCAAGAAAACGTACCAGCCAGCCAAAATCCCAGACACGACTCAAGCACACACCCCTCGGTACAGCAACAGACGAGCGCGCACGGCCAACGCATCCGCCCGACCCTTCCTTTCGTCACGTCACTATCCCTTTCGTATACAACGCATTGGCCTTTTACTTCCCATAGCGTAAGGGCGCGCGCCCCAACCATTGCATTTTCGCAAGCCCGCCCACGCACCCAACAATCTCTATGTAGTATATATACGATTTATTTTCAATGTGTGATTGTGCAGTGCGAGGATTTGTACGAACTCATTTCTTGCCTTTTACCAGAAGTGACCGCGAGTCCCGCACAACACTGCACTTACTCAATCTTTGGAACAACTTTTCACCCAGCGTGGGTTCGAAACTCTGTTTTTACCATTTTCTTTTTGCTGCCCTTTTTTGTTAACTTTACTTAACAGTCGATTTTTCTCAACAACGCTATATACACAGCGCATACCTAATGTAATAACAACAGCCTTTTCCTAATCTTTATAATTTAGTAGTCTGTGATTTTTTTATGTGCAACAATGTTGGTCATGCTTTGAGCAATAGGTACAACATCGCGCAATCTTCCGTCAAGAAGTGCCTGCCTCAATCTTGCCTATCTAACACTTCATCTTAATCCCCTTCCGTTTTTCATTTTCACGCCACTCAAACATGAACTGCACGCCTGTAAACAACGCACAGCAAGCTGTCCCAAAAAACATCCAACCAGACCACGTTCCCACAATACCACTAACGAGACCCTTTAGCCCATCCATTCCAAGTGCAAAGCCAACGAGATTAGCTGTCATTAGCATCAGAATCTCGCCAACAGCACCCACACCACACAACCAGCGGTAAGCATCGGGATTGTTCTTCCACTTCTTCGCTGGGAAGATGTATGATGCGATGATCTCTGGAAGAACAAAGAGAGTAACAAGCCATCCCCACATGAGCAGTCGGAGTTGAATGTCATGCCAGATGGCAATAAAGGTAAACACGGCTAGGTAGTTGCCTACCGCCCTTGCCTTGCCGAGGATACCCTCGCCCTTACTTCCACCAAGAGGAATATACAGATACCTCAAGCTCCACTTGTTGAAGCTGCGGTGCCACCCGCGCCAGAAGTGCATAACAGAATAGTTGTCAGACATGCAACGCACCATATTCTCTGGTGGATCAATACCATCCATAAGTGACCACAGACGGAAGAAGCGCCATGGGATGAGTAACTTTAGCCAAATGTGTTTGAGGTTGAAGAAGCCCAGCATGCTCAGCTCGCAAGGTGTGTACTGAGACCAGTCGGGCTTCTCGTGAAAAATGGCGACCATGTACATGTAATGAATCATAATCTCCATAGTAAGAAGGACAACGATGAAACGGATCAAGTAGAGGCTCGTTCGGTTGGTGGTGATGCTGTGAGGCCGGTAGCGACATTGCGCTATGTAATCGTTGAATGTTATGATGGGTCCGGCCAGGTAGAGTGGAGAATAGGTAACATATGCGAAATAGTTGCGGAATGAGTAGTCCGCGGGTTTAGCAGGGATGGATACTCGATCACGCTCGGAGAGGTTGGAAGGGTCGAGTTGTTTCTTCTTGGATGTTATTAGCTATATCGAACCGAGGGAGGGTGGGAAGAATACTTCAAGAGGACTATTATTTCGAGAGTTGAGTGACCAGTAGTAGTCGAGGTTAAAGCTTATGAGTCGGAGGATGGTGAAGTTGAAGAGCACTTCCCAACGTGGAATGAGGCCACCATAGCTGTCAAGCATATGGCCGAAATCAGATCTTGACTCGCCCTTTTCTGAGGTAGCAGATGGGAGAAATGTGCCGAGTATAGTTGCATACGAGTAGCCCCGGCCAAATTCATTGGCGAACAAGGTGCCTACGTTGAAGATCCACGTTGCGGCAGGTATATACTGCCGAGGGAGCTTCTTTCCGATGCAGTAATTGGCGTAGAGGATTGCTAGGATTTTGAATGCCGAGAAGCCATGCAAAGCAACAAGAAATATAGTGGCAAAACCTACATCAAATGATATGCGTTGAAGCATGCGGGCATCCGCTGCAGCGGACGGTGTTAGACCCATGGTGAGGCCATTGCTCGCCGACGACCGTACTTGGGTGTATGTACCAGCTCGCCAGAAAGAGTCATATGCTTTGCGCAAATTTGGATGCAGTAGTACTACGATAAACAGATATGGAATGTTCTGACGGAAGCCGCCATACTGAGCATCAACATTATCCTGAGAAGTCAGTGAATTGCACATGACAAGGGGCAACACAACATACCACTTTCCGCCCAGGTATCCAACCATCAGAAAGGAGATGTTCGAATTTTGGATAATTTGGGTGCGATTCTACAAGTTGGTCAACACATGACTCTTACTTATGGTATCACCAAGCATACCTTTAGACACGTCCAGTACGGATTTGAACATCATGAACACGCTGGCCGAAATGGCCACGTAGTAGAAATAAAACTCGAGTGTATTCCATCGCGGAGGATGGATGTCACTATCTGCACGTTTGGTGCCATCTCTTCCTTCTTTTACAGGAATTGGGCCCACTGGGTCAAGTTTGGCCTCCTCGAGCGCCTCCTTGGGCGGTGTGGTGGCTGGTATTACGAAGCGAGTGTCGAGGGTATCGAGTGCATACAGCTGGCGGATGAATTTGAGCGCCATGGTGACTTATATCCTATGTCTTCATTTCTCAGGTTCTGAGAGACCCTGCGAACAAATATCTGGGGGGATGCGGGGCGGAGGCACGAGGGGTAAGTGCGGTGGTGGAGGACAGGTCCGCAACCTCAACTTTTGGAGTTCGCGTCTTGCGACAGCTTCTCTTGAACACCAGCACCAGCTCCACAACCACGCCCGCTTTGACTGACTCGGAAACTCGACAATTACGCGTCAATCCGCCGTACCATACCCGACACATTTCCTTTCACCAGTCTCCGCGCCGGCGATAATCGCGCGCGATGAACATTCCCAACTCGTCGACCGCACCCGCTGCGGGAGAGTATGCTGGAGGTACCTACGATTGTCCGAAGCTCTATAGCGCGCGCCTAATAATAACAAACTATAGATGAGGTCTCAGCGATCGTTCTCGACCCCGGCTACTCAACTGTACGCGCAGGATTCGCCGGCGAAGATGTTCCCAAATCCGTATGCCCTTCCTTCTATGGCCTCACATCATCAGGCGACCGTCTGTTCGGCGAGAACGCGATACACGCTCCAGTCGACGGGCTTGAGATTAAGAATTACTGGGGCTCAGATGGCATAGTAGAGGACTGGGAGACTGCGACCAAGCTGTGGGAGTATGCGATTACAAGCCGACTCACGGGCGCAAAACCGACAGACCCCAAGAAGAACGGGCTGAACGACGGCAACGACGAAAATGGAAACGGAGAGGCTATGGATGTGGACATGGAGGCACTAGAGAACAACGAGAAGCCCTTGGAAGACAGTCCGCTGCTCGTCACAGAACCAGGCTGGAACAGCGCAAAAGCAAGGGAAAAGTACATTGAGATTGCAATGGAGGAATGGGGAACCCCTGCCTTCTTCCTACAAAAGACGGGCGTATTGGCTGCTTTTGCATCGGGCAAGGCTTCTGGAATCATCATCGACGTCGGCGCCTCCCACACGTCTGTTACGCCTGTCCTCGACGGCATGGTATTACGAAAGGGTGTGCAAAAGTCGCCTCTGGCCGGAAACTTTGTCTCTGATCAGATCCGGCTGTCGTTCAAGCAGGCGCAACCAGAGGTCCCGCTGATACCCCATTTCATGGTGAAGAGCAAGACGCCCGTCGACGCTGGTGCACCCGCTCAAGCCACGTATAAGACCTTCTCCACACCGCCTACCGACTCCTTCCGGTTGAATGAAGAAGAACGCATTCTGACATCGTTCAAGGAGTCGGTAGTAGAAGTATGGCCTGGCCCCGGCCGCTTCAGCACCAACGAGGAGCTAGCAAAGAGCATGCCCGGCCGACCCTTCGAGATGCCCGACGGCTGGAACCAAGTATTTGGCGTGGAGCGATTCCGCGCCGCCGAAGGCCTCTTCGACGCCTCAGCAGCCCGTACTTCCGACACAAGTCCCGCTCCCAAACCCGAGCAAACAATTCCCCGCCTCGTCCAGGCTGCCGTCCAGCAAGTCGATGCTGACCAGCGTCCCCTGTTGCTCTCCAACATCGTCGTCACGGGCGGTAGCACCCTGCTGTACAAGTTCAACGAGCGCCTCAACTACGAAGTCAACTCCATCTACCCGTCTACCCGCAACAAGCTTATTGCCCCCGGCAGCGTGGTGGAGCGCAAGTACGCTGCTTGGATCGGTGGCAGTATATTGGCTAGTCTCGGCAGTTTCCATCAGCTGTGGATCTCCAAGAAGGAATACGAGGAGCATGGTGCGAATATCGTTGAGAAGAGGTGTCGATAGGGGATGGGCATGCATGAAAGGGGTTTATTTTTCGAGCTCACGAATCATGTAGAGAGTTGAATATATTGGTTGCTGTGTCCTCAGTCAGGGATAGTCATTTTACTGTAATGTTACTTGCGATGCTTGGTCTGTCTAGTGGAGTTGAAATAGTGATGAAATATCTGAAGTTCACATCTTTGAGCCTTCAATGTTCCCAATTGGGTCACGTAAACAAGTGCGCAACGCCTGGTCGGCATGAGGACAGAAATGGTTCATCATCATCATGTCTTCTAGCTATCCGATTCAAGGAGTTCATTCGACACCTGATACCGGTGTATAGTACATGTTCTTCATGTTCGTAACGCCATGTCGTATATCGCCCAGAACTCTCCATCTACGAGTCTACATCCATTGTCTCGGCTGTGGCGGCCACGTCGTCGTCCTTGAGTTCATGCACGGTAACGTACTTGCTAATCTCTTCCTTCTTGATAATCTTTTCGTTGAGCACCGCCGTGGTGCCGCGTTGGAACCTGTAGTTTCTCTGCTTGGGCTGCCTGGTGTTCGGTGTCTTGTAGTTCCTCATCAGGGTCGTCTTCTCCTCTGTGATGACGGCCACGTCCACGTTGCTACCTGAGCCCAGATCGTTCCAGATACCGGCCTCAATGGCATTGGAGCACAGAGTGACGGCCTCGTCGCGCGTCAGGTGCGCCTTCCATTGTGTCTCAAAAACCGACATGGCGGCCAGCGAACCGGAACCCATGGTGACGTATGGCAGCTTGTCGGTGGAGCCGTGGGCGTGGACGGTGAAGAGGTGGGCGCCAGTAGGGTCGACACCAGCAACGACGAGGTAGGCACCAATGTGGCCCTGGTGGCGGAACAGGTGCTGCTTCAGCATCGTCATGCAGGTGACGACGCGGGGCTTGCGGCCCGTGGAGAGTGCGTGCAGTTCAAGATTGGATGAGATGATGGCTGTGGTGAACTCGGTGTCTGCAGCGGTACCGGCACCAGCGCACCAGATCTGGGGGGCGATGAAGTGAAGCTTCTCGCAGTTCTGCGGACACAATTGTTAGGGAGTGCATCGTGGTGAGGGTGGCATTCATGGCGGGGGAGGAGCGTACCTTGTCTGCGACGATGGGCCCGCTGGTTGCACGAGTATCTGCTGCAATTACCACACCGCCATCGAATAGACAGCCGACAATGGTGGTTCCCGTGCTGGTGGCCTTGGGTAGGGGGATGCCCTGAGCATGGAGAGCCACATTACGGTTGTGGTTGGAGAAGTCGAAGCCGCCCATGGTGTGTATGTGTGGATGAAGTGTGGTAAGCCTGGGGAGGACTGGTGGGCCGGTATTGCAGAAGCCGGGGGGTGTTCTGGCGAATGGATAGTATTCAACTTCCTGGACAGCGCTACCAGCGGGGATTTGTGTGCAGTTGTAGTATGTCGTGAGGCTGTTCCCAACACTGGTCGTCGCTCAAGGCAGGTCGGCGGCGGCGGCGATGGGGGACTTGCGTAGCTGGTCGTGCCTGGTGGGTGGAGCTTGGACCGCTGTGCTTGGCGCGGTGATCCGCCAGCTGCTAACCCCGACTTTTCCTAGACAGCAAAGCGCGTCTGGCAAAAGTGACGAGCTACTGGTTGCATGATTGCCGATGCATGCTGATGCCGCTGCACCAGGCTCTTTTTTGCGACATCACCGCCTTTCCCGTACCCGCCTTCTTGCTCTTCATCCTCACTCGGTCCCAGTCTTAGCCCTGTACTGGATCTTTCTTTGTTTCCCACCCCCCAGAATTCACGGTGACCGTGCACGCGCTTTCGCGCTAGACATCCAATGCATTTATGAATAAGCTGCGAACTCCAACGCGCGACACCAAGCCGTCTCTACTACGCGCCAGAACTTGTTCGGCCTGCAAATCTTGCAGAATGTCAAAGAGCCATGCGCCGGCGGTAGAGGTTGGGGCTGAGGTGCCCGAGATCGAGACGGAGGTAGCTTCTCCTGCCAGCATGCAAACCATCCCCCAAACTGACAGCGCATCCAGCATCTAGGCTTCAAAGTCCTTAGCAACGGAAAGCAAGGTCCCAAGAAGGTCAAACTTCTTCCCCGACCATGGCCTGCCGAAAATCTGCCCTCGGCCTCGGCCAACCTCCTCTCCGTCGCCTCCAAGCCTGGTCTCCTTGCAGCCGCTGGTCCCAATGTCCTCGTCATTGCATCTACCGACGCCGTGCGCAAAGCCTTCGAGGGCAAGACGATAGCCGACGACATTGACAAGCCCGACGATCCACGACTCGAGGAACGCGACATCGACGTCGTGTCAGACTTCACACCTGATGTCACCATCTCCACCGAGAATCTGCGTCACGTTGCCTTCTCTGCCGACGGAGACTTCCTCGTCGTCGCTCCCGAACAGCAAGCCTCCATTTCCATATTCAGTGTCGCCGAAGTCATTAAAGGTAGGAAAGATGCGGAACAGACGGTGCAAACAGACGCGCCTGTCCGCGCCCTTCTCCCAAACCCAGCCCCCGAGTTCGAGCATTTCTTCGCTATTGTCCTGGATTCTGGCAAGCTCCAGATATGCAATGTTACGGATGGTGCCAAAAAGACGATTCGCGATACTGACGTCAACTGTGCTGCCTGGAGTACGCGCGGAAAGGCTGTAGTCTCTGGTTCAACCGACGGTACCTGCGCCATTAATATGACCAATGGAGAACTCAAGGGTGTCATTCCTCGCGCACCGGATGTCGACGAGAGCTACGAGGTGACGGGAGTGACATGGCTGAATACGGAGGAGTTTCTCGCGGTCTACTCAATCAGGGATCAAGATCCAGAGAACCCAGAACCTAAGAAATTCAGTGTTATCAAGTCCGCGAAAGGTTGGGGATCCTTCACATACCATGCCTTCGCCTGGGATCCTCTTCCCGAGGCATTTGAACCCCCGCGACGACCCCTTCCTGCCCGCTTCTCATCCACGCGACTACGAAACTGGAAGCCCGATCTTGAAGATATGCTGATTATCACATCCTCGCACGCCGATTCAATCGCCATACTTGCTTCTACAAGTAACAAGATCTCCCCTAACCAACAAAACCTTAAGGAGCTTATGTTGGTCAACGTTGACGACACCAAGAAGGCGTCTGTACCACGTACAGCATACGGAGAAGATGAATTGGACAGCGTCTTCATTGGTGAAGCGCTGGATCTTTCAAGCAAAGAGAAGATTTTGCGTCCAATTCCGAGCCTGGAGGAAATCAACGAAGCTCCTTGGCCATTGCCAGCTTACATGGCTCTGACCCATGAAGGTCTTCTCACAGCTTGGTGGGTGGTGTGGAACCGCTCAATTGAAGCTGGCGAACGCTACCCGGGTCTCATCTTCAAGAGCGAGTCTACACAACGGGAGCCAACCACTACACCCCGGGCTCATACCCCTGCATCCAAACTTCCTGTCGCTACTTCCACAACACCATTTGGACAACCTTCCACACCTTCACACACTCCTTTTGGCAAGTCGGCAAACACTCCTGGAACTCCTGGAATTCCACACTTTGGCAATGCTGGACACAACTCCCCATCCCCTGCTCTGATGAGGCCTACGCCACCAGGCTTCGGCACACCTGGGTTTGGAGCTTCGACGTCAAGCATACCCACGCCTACGTTGAGCAAACCTCCACAGCCTGCGTTCGGTGCACCGACTGCAGTGGGTGGTGCTGGGAAAGCAGCCTTTGGTGCACCATCTGCGATTGGTGCAGCTGGCGGCTCTGGATTTGGTGCAGCGGGCAGTATGGGCAACAAGTCATCCCTATGGGGGACGCCTACCCAAAGTTCTGAGGCCAAGGCTAACCCTTTCTCTGGAGGTGGAGGGAACTCGTTCGGATTCGCCAAATTTGGACAGAATGGGGGTACGTCGAGCTTTTCCAGCTTTGGCAGCACTGGCTCTGCCCAAGCAAGTTCAGGATTTGCATCACTCGGACAAGGCCAACAAAAATCCGGTTTTGCTAATCTCAAGAGTGAGCCGAGCTTTGGTTCAACAGTCACTGTAAGTTCCGGAACCGGATCGTCGCTGCCTTCTTGGGGCAACACACCCGCCCAACAGAGCAGCTCGATCTTCGGACAGCCAAGCAAGTCTTCTTTCAATACAGCTTCGTTTGAGTCGAAGGCATCTGACATGAGTGACCCAAACGGCACGCAGCGGAAGAGAGACGAGGCCACACCGACACCCCAAGCCCCAGCATCGCAAGGCTTGTTTGGGCTTGCTGGTGGCTTCAAGCTCGGCACAACTTTCAAGAGCGACGGCACTGCTACCGACGATCCGGCAAAACCAGCTGCGCCTGCGAATGGCTCGTTCTTCGGAAGCGACTTTGCTAACACGCTTGGGACAACGGGACTCAAGCCCCCGGCTACACCCGCGAGCGAGCCCCCACAATATGTCTCCACCACACCAGCCTCACCACCAAAGCAGAAGTTGTTCCCGAGTGACACTCCTGCCAAAGACAGCGCAACCCCCAAAGCAGCACCTCCTGTACAGGAGCCGGCTACCCCTTTCGACGATGCCCCTCTCCCACCAGACTTCACCAAGTCAAAGCCATCCAAGGTCGATGACGCACCACTCCCTCCTGATTTCATGAACACCAAGCCCTCGCAGTCAAATGGTGACGATTTGCCCCCGCTTGCGGGTAGTCCAGGTGTCGAAGTGGAAGCTCCCAGTTCTTCAGTCGAGGCGTCTCCAATTGGCAATGGAGAAAATCACAGTGATTACTCTGAGGATGACCAGGACGATGACGATGATGAGGAACCCGATGATACCTATCCGCCAAACAACGCCTCAAAATCATACCAGCCAAAGATTGGTACTCAATCAAGCTACTTTCCCCCTGCGCCAACTCCTCCTGTCATGAAGTCTGGAGGTACCTCGCAATCCGGCCGAAGCACATCACCGGCTCAGAACTCTTTGTTCGGACAGCCCACTAAGCCCAATGGAACCCAGCCATCGTTTGGAGGTAATTCGTTGTTTGGACAACAATCTGTCAAAGCTCCCTTTGGTAGCAGACCTAATTCCTCATCTGCATCTGCGAAGCCCCCTTACCCACCTTCCGCTACCAACCGCTCTCAAAACCTTCGCTCGCCCAGTCCAATGCGTCCCAGCTCGTCTTCTCGCTTCCGACGTGAGCCTCTGGTCGCGCCTGGGGCTTCCCTTAGCTCTTCTCTCCAAGGATCCAAGCCCCCAACACCCCAGCCGCAGGTTTCCGATCTGGAGGACGAGGAGGATGAGAGAATGCGTGCCCAGCTTGCGCAGCCTATCGAGCCAAGTCGCCATCTTGAGGAATTCGTAGCATACCAGAACTACACAGGCGGTAAGTCGCCTAACAAGTCTGGTCACGCTGCTCAGATCGAAATGATATATAAGGACATCAATGGCATGGTAGACGCTTTGGGCTGGAACATGAGGTCGATCAAGGCCTTTACTCTATACCATCAGCAACCTCAACCTAACCACCAAGTCGATCGAGGCATGCTGGAAGATATTTTGTCCCAAGGACATGATGGATCGTGGTTCGAGAAGTTCACACTGTGTGAGATACAAGCATTGAAATCTCTCGAGGAAGATTTGGAGCAGGAGCTTGACGCCGGTCGAGTGCAGGACGTACTCGATAAGCTAGCACAGCTTGCTCGCCTCCTCCACGAGAAGGCTAAGCTGATGACTCGTCTCAACGATATTCGTCGCCAGATCATCAACCGCAAGGATCCTGAGAGAATCGAGGCGCTTCGCAAAGCACCCTTGCCAAAGGAGCTAGCGGATGGACAAAAGAGTCTGCGCAATGACTACGCTCAGCTACTCACATCGCTGCGCAAGGCTGAAGATGCCGTTGCTGTCCTTCGTTCTCGCCTTGCTACTTACAATGCCCAGGCTGGCAGCACCAAAGCTGTTCCTTCTATGGAAGCTGTCAAGAAGACAATCTTGAGACTGGCCAATCTTGCGGAGCAGAAGAACAACGACATTCTCGTTCTCGAGGCGCAAATGCGTAAGCTGGGTCTTGCCGAACCGAGTCGTCCATCGTCTTCCTCTTCACGCACTGGTACACCACGACAATCCGGCCGGACCAGTCTGCGTCGCAGTGTCGCTGACACACCATATGCTACACCTCCCACGGGCCATAAAAAGCTTACTCTGACTGAGTTGAACCGTCGCGCTCTTACCCCCGAGGTCGATAATACGCCAACTCCCGGGAAAGGCTACGGCTTGTTTTACACACCTGAAGGAAGTCCCGCAGCCGGCGGAAAAGATATTGCTCGTTTGTCAGACCTCGTCGACGAGAACATGGATACTTTGAGGGAGACGGCAAGAAGCAGGAAACAAGTTGCCAAGAACCTGAAAGGTGTTCTCCTGGAACGGGGAATCAAGGTCACAAGAGTCAATTAAGGGAGAGTGTTAGATGATGGGTTGGAAGGTCAAGATTGGTAATTCTGGAATTATGATTGTGTGTATGATTAAGCGTTTTTGGTGATACATTGCTGCAAGGTGTTCTATTTGGATAGCGATTGCATGGAGCTAGGCGAGGGATCTGCGTCGGAGAAGAAAAAAAAACGTTCGTTCACAATGGCGATTGCGCGATTGGATTCCTTGATTGAACATGCGATTTCTCAATTTGTGATTCATGTATTGGATTTCTTGATAGGTGTATATTTACTTCACATATGCGAAATGCAGAGACTTGAACAAAATAATTGTCCGCACTCGTTAACGGGAGAGGAGGAGTATATGACTGCTGATCCTTACCACATTGCAGCCCCCTATGTTCTCAGGTTCGGCTAGTGAGCGGATCTATTAGATACCTCACCTCTATCCAACACCTATCGACCTGGTTGTATATACATATCAATGGATGAAGACAAATTTCGTGCACTGAAGTACTGTTTATGAGGTGTCTTTCTTAACATTTCATTCAATTCTATACTTGTCTCCATCGAGCCCAGCATCTATGCCGAGGGTATATATAAACAGCTCTCCACCCAAGAAAAAAAAGGGGGTATATATATATATATACAAAAAGATACAAGAATCATTCAACGCGTAGAGGATGCAAGATGCAAGATGCAGTAAACCATGCAAAGCAAAAAACCCCCCTCTTACTCCTCCTCATCCTCCCCCACATACCCCATATCCACCATATGCCTAACAATACCATACGTCGCAACTCCAAAATTACTCGTGCGACTCAAAATCGTCTTCGGATTAACATACTTTTAATACTGATTCAGCACAAAAGCATGCAACATATACGTCGAAGAAAAAATCCATTTCCCACTCGGTTCTCCTCCTACAATTCTGAATCGCAATTTCATAGATCTCCATTGCATCTGAAGAATGCGTTTTCTCGGTGCACCGGAGACGCAGACTTATCTTCATTGGGCTCAAACAGCGGATCGGTACTATCCGGGAACCAGTTGCGTTGGCGCAAATGCGGTACGGTCGAGGATCAAGACTTCGTTGGGGGATGGGGACGAGGCACGAGGTGATGCTGGTTATGCTTTGGAGGTTTGCAGTCCATTTGCTGTTGAAGCTGGCGTGTTGCTCGCGAACGACGATGCGGGTCATGGTGCTGTTGGGTTTGGTCATGAAGACGCCGTTGTTGATTGTGCTGTTTATGCCGCTGTGTTCGCCGGCGCCGCCGTAGTGGCGGCCGCCGATGAAGGCGAAACCTGTTGTCAGAAGGGGTGTTAGAGGGAGTAAATGTAAGACGTCCCAGTTCATGTAGATGCTTCCTTTTTTTCTCGATGGCGTTGATGTGCTGGTTTTCATTTGTGCCGGCGAAGGTGGGGGCGTGGACGGGGTTCCAGATCACGAGGTCGGCGAAGGTGTTGACGACGGCTTTGGTCCATCTGTCGCCTTTTTGGCCGGCTTCGTCGATCTCAGAGGGGCTGAAGTTGGTGTAGATGTAGACGCGTTCGGATTTGATGTAGAGGACTGCGGCGCAGATGTTTAGGAAGCTGGAGAAGGGGAATTTGAGGACAGATTTTTCGTCCTTTTTGATTTGGACATAGTGGACTATACTTGGTATGCTGTCTTGGTCGGATGTATCGGTGGACTGGAATATCCCATATTGCCTTACTTTCTCTAAGGGATGGACTAAGAGTGCGGAGACCGAGAGTGCAGCAATGATACAGGCGCCCGTTATGAGTGCAATGCGAGTGCGTGAGCGGGTAGTGGGAGTATCTCTGAAGGGCATATACTGATATAAGCCGCTTTGGGGCTTGAGAAAGCCTCAGTACGAACGCAATTGATCCAACATAGCGGTTGAAGTGAGGAAACGAGTGGGCCTGCCGTAAAGAAAAGACTCAATGAACTACATGGAACAATCAAAGAAAGGAGTTGGAAAATCGTTGAATAAAGAAGAGACGACACGTCTGACGCCCAGAGTTCGATGTTTGAGGTTAGGATGATGCTGGTGGTGATAGCCCGCGTCATCCTGTGAATAGGCCCGAACGCAGTCTGACATGAACGAAGCTAATAAGGTAAGGAGAAACACTAGAGGCACACAAGATCTGAATTGAGATGGCTAATCTCCATACTTACGTGAGGGAAATGGTAGTGAGGTTTCTGGCGATTCGTATATATGTGTATATACTAGCATGACTAAGAGTAGGCCCTTTTTCGAGTGGAAGCGTGCGGGTCCTGGCAGATTAACAGAATAGGCTGAATTTCATACTGTAGTCCCGCATTGGTACCTCGACGTAAGTAATCTGTAAGTGGGGGTACTACCCCTGTTGTATACCTGCGCATCGCATAGGCCTGCGAAAACGGGATCTGCGATCTTGGAGACGAACTAATCTCATCAAGGTGGTTTTTACTAATGCAAGATAATGTTGAAGAAGGGTGTCGGCTTTACTCAAAAGTATATGATTTTTTTTTACTTGCCAAAATGAGATTGTGGTGATGCTGATATCTGAATTGGGATATAGCAGTTACAACTGCCGGATGTTGTAATGGGGCTGACTTGCTCGATCCTCGGAAACAAGTAAGCTGAACCAAAGGTCATGTGACGCGCGCTACGTATTTAATCCGACTTGGCGACATGCGGCAGACAGCGCCTGTCGTAGCAGCCCTCCTCACATTATTATTAAATATACCTACCACCATTTCTATCGAGTTTAGCAGAAAACTTCCACAATGCTGGATGTAACGACTGAAGTTGTCTACCTGCCATTTAAAACAGGACTCGATCTGTCGGCGGGCGAGAAGAAAGAGATATGGGAAGATGTCCTTAGTACTATTAAGAGACAGCCTGGCGCGATAAGGGTACTTTGGGGAAGGCAGATTGAACACCCGGATACAGTCCAGCTAGTGATTGGTATGCTGTTCTCTTTTTGATAATATCTGGGGACGCTGTTTTTCCTCCTCCCTCCGCCACATGTTCGCTCGTCCACCACGCTAACTGCATTGAGACTGGGCATCGATGGACTTCCACAAAGCATTCATGGACAGCCCAATCTACCCGCCTTTCCTGAAAAAAATGGATGATCACCTTCTAGCCGGAACACCAGTCTTATATCATGCCAAGTTTCCCTTTGCGCAAAGCTCATACGGTGATCCATTTACTTCTCCTGTAACCGAATGTATCGCCGGCTTCTTTCCCGCAGACTATCCCGAGTCACAGTATGAAACCCAGTTTATAACTTTCCGGGAGGAAGCCCTCAAAACTAAGGACCTTGCTGCCGATGGCGTGATCGGCGGATGGAGTGTTGAAAGGCAGTCGCATGAGGCGTTGGGGGAGGGAGTAGAGGGAAAATTATTTATGATTTTCATTGGATGGCCAGATGTAGAGGCGCATATGGTGTTTCGGGACTCAGCCGATTTTGCAAGAGTAATTCCGCATTTGAGAGATGGACCGGTGGGGAGGAACATGTGGCATGTGGCGTTGAAGGAGCATAAGTGAAGACATGTTTTCTGGACCCGGAAAGGGCCAAATGGGCCTCATGTGTCATTTCTTGAGATTTAGTTCTTCTTTTTGACATATGATCCCTTGCAGGTCCAAACCGGAAGGAAGATTTATAGCATGACCGATATTCTGCTCAATGTTTTGCATTTCTTCGATATTGCACCCATATCAATCTTGAACTCCAAACAGATTCATAACCTCCTTTCTGACAACTTCCAGGCTTGGAACATCTTTTGAGATTTGTTGAAGATAATAGTTTGTCGTATAAAAACTCGCTTGAAAACATATTAATGACACCTAGAGGTGTTGGGAACTTCGTAAAGAGTGTCGGCCAAGAGTTTACCCAAAGATTGTAAGATTCGGAAGACCTGATGTCCTTCAAGGTGTAATTGCCAGGATCTCAAGCAGTATGGCGATAGGTTAAGAAAAAAACTGGAGCTGGGGTACCCGGGAAGCAAGTCCTAATCTTTGTGAATCCGACGTGGGTCAACCGGAAAAGACGAGAATCGTTCTTCCAAGCATCGATGATAGACTGTAATCCGTAGCTTGATGGCCGAGAAAGTATAGTCACTCATGACATACCCTTTGGCGGAAAACTGGAGTCGCGCTTAAACCCTTCCTTTGAAATTCTGCAGAACTTGAGCATGGCTAGCTGAGCCCACATGCCGTTCCACTCTTTCAGTTTGCGCAGATTGACCGCATCCTCGAGATCCGGTACCCAGAAGCCAGAGGCGTACTCGTCCCGTTCAGTCTTTTGATTAATCTCAAGCAGATTTTGGCGCGTGCTTGGCGGCCTTCCTGGACGGCGTTCTGCTTTGAGTTTCGCCAGCTCCTCATCATCTCTGCCTACATAATCTTCAATCATGGCCTGGATTTCGCCCACGCTAAGTGGCGATTCATGCTCTGTGGTGTATGATTGGAAAGACTTTATCCGAGACACTGCTATATGTTAGCTATCTGTATACTCACATCTCGGCATCAACTACACATACAATATGTGCGATTCTGGTTTTCTCGAATTTTGCTCAGGCGGTTCAGCTTATCATCTCTTTGCGCTGCGCTTTGTAGTCGCTTGGTGTCCCGGCTGCCCTCGTGGAGGTTTGGATTCTTGCCCTTCTTCTTGGCGATCTGCTTGTGTACCTTGTCGAGGCGATTGCTGACCATTTTGACCTTTTGCCGTTTTTGCAGCACCTGTTGGTGTATGGGGCAAGAAATTTTGGATAATGCGTCGGGGCTCGGCGCTGGTAATCACGCTAGTCGCCGAACTTGGTTAGCGTGTTCTTAGCGGGGCGCGTTCCTGCCGTGGGCGTGTATCCGCGATGAGTGCTCCACTGCTGCATTTAGACTGTGACGGCTCTCTCTTTCCATACCTCTCTTGTACACTTGTTCTGGGCGGCTTCTCTTCTATTGACACGTCTGCGTTTCACACCAGCATGTTGTCATAGTGTTCGTACTGCAGCCATTGTATAGGCTCGACGCGTGAGCGGCAAAGGGTCCACAATGGGCATCTCAGGTCAGCGCACCCAATCGTAGGCTGTACATCGCTAATAGAGGAACAGGTCTTCTCCCACTGCTGAAGTCAGTCCAGAAGCCAGGCAGTCTTAAGAAATATGCAGGCCAGACTATTGGCGTGGACACTTATGGCTGGTTGCACCGTGCAACTGCTGCCTGCGCCATTGATCTGGCCCTAGACAAGCCCACCACAAAGTATGCAGCTCCTGGCCCAGTGAACGAAAGCTGTTCTGACAGTCTGCTAGATATGTCGATTTTGTCATGCACCGTGTTCGCATGCTCATCCACTTTGGTGTTACCCCTTACCTCGTTTTCGATGGCGACAATCTCCCAAGCAAGGCAGGTACCGAGAAGGGTCGAAGGGAGAGAAGGAAAGAAAGCAAGAGGCTGGGACTAGAACTTTTGAAAGTTGGCAAGGTAGCCCAGGCGCAACAGGAACTTCAGAAGAGCGTAGACGTGACACCAGAAATGGCGCGAATGGTTATTGAAGAGCTGAAAAAGAACAATATCCAATATGTTGTTGCACCATACGAAGCCGATTCACAGCTTGCATATCTCGAACGCAAGGGAATCATCAACGGTGTTCTTTCAGAAGACTCGGATTTGCTCGTCTTCGGAGTCAAGTGTCTGATCACGAAGCTAGACAAGTATGGAGAGTGCATCGAGGTCAACCGGAATCATTTCACAGCCTGCAGGGAAGTCAGCTTTGTAGGCTGGTCCGATGCCGACTTTCGAAGAATGGCCATCTTGAGCGGTTGTGACTACCTACCCGGTATAGGTGGGCTCGGTCTGAAGACTGCTCATCGAATGCTACGCAAACACAAGACTGTAGATCGTCTTGTTAAAGCCGCCCAGTTTGATGGAAAGCTTAAAGTACCTGCTGGGTTCATGGAATCGTTCGACCAGGCAGAGAAGACATTCCTTTATCAATGGGTCTACTGCCCAGTCGAAGAGAAGCTTGTCAACCTAACACCACTTGGTGATGGGTTAAATATTGCCGACATGCCGTATATCGGAGAGGAGGTTCCACCCCACCTTGCCAAAGGTGTTGCTCTAGGCGACCTGTATCCGCGTTCGAAGCTCCCAATGGAAGTTGCTGGCAAGTCTAAATCCAGCAGCCAACCGCTGGTCCCCTCCCGACGGTCTTCAGCAACTATGCAAACGCCCGATGCAAAGAACACGAAGCCAATTGACTCCTTCTTCAAGCCCAAGCGCACACCCTTGGCTGAGTTGAGTCCGAACCTCTTTACTCCTTCGCCAAGCCAGCAAGTCTTGCTTGAACAGCAACGTAACAGCAGCGGCTGGGCTGCAGTGCCAGCCCCCATCTTGCGACTACAACAACAGTATCCCCCACCCCCCAGTACAGCGCCCCAGCCTAGGCGTACAATAACAGATCCGATTGGAGGCCGACGGTCGGTCCCTCCATCCAAGAGACCCCGGCTTTGTTCGGATTCTGTGTTCGAAACTCCTACCGCTGGCGGTGAGGGTGTTGTGCGAAGTCAGTTCTTTGCATCGTCCACACCAGAACCAAGTCCGACGTTGCATCGCAGGAAGAAGAGCAGGAGAAAGACCGACCAGGACATTCAACTCTATTCAGACCACTCAATCCAAGAAGGAGAAGTAGAAGCTGCTGATTTGGAGCAGACTGCATCTCAGCGGAAGAACAAGTTGCGAGTCTTCAGTGAAGTGCAGTCAAGTATAAGTAGCGAATCACAGTCGACGATATTTTCGAGAGGTAGCACGGCTCAATCTCAAGAGACGGCTGGTACATCCACGCCCGCATCATCTCCCGGTAGCCCAGAACCAGAGCCATCCTTTAGCACTGCGATATCTTCTCAGCTCAGCGATTTGCGGTCAAAATTTACCTACAAGGCCCCACGCATCCCTTCACCGACAAAAACAATGCCGCGAGTTGCTAAAGCTCGTCTAGAAAGGCAACCTACTAAGGTTTCGCAGTCTACGCCACCTTCATTAGAGTCTGGTTCAGCTTCTCTTCCCGAGACACCTGCAGAATCAATTCTCCCTGGTACACCGCCTCCCGCTGATGAAGAAGCAGACCTGGCGGACTCTGCTTGGACGGCTATGGAGTCTGAGGTTATTGTTGCTGCAAGTTCACCGCCCCCTGTAACACCTGCAAAGAGGAGGCGATCGTCGTTAAAAGGAAGCGAAGATCTGCTTGTACTAGATAGTGATGTGGAAAGCATGTGTTCGCCGCGGAAACCCATGTTTAATCTTGCTCGCTTTGCATTTGCCGGATAGTCTTTCGCACGTTGCAAAATTTTTGTGTATTATTACGATGAGCATATGAGTTGTGGTTTGGCGTTCTGGTTTGGGCGTGACTTGGGTGGGAGTATGGTTACTTGAAAAATCAGTGTAGCGGGACTAGAGACTTGAAGTGTTATGACATGGATCTTTAACTGTACATATCATACTCTTAATACCTATCTGTTCTTGAATCGCCAACCCTTCTTCACACAGTACTATTATCGGCAACCTAGATATGTCCCAGACCTCTTCGGCGAATGATAAGGAAAGCGGCGTCATGCTCTCGGTATCCAAAATCGACCATCTGCAACATTACTTTGGAGTGTTGCCTATGCGGTGAAATATCCCCCACCCTATAGTGTGTAACGTGGTTCACAAGCGAATCGCTCACCCAAGCGAATCGCTCGCGCCCCACCAGCGCGACAACTTCAACACATTATCACAGACTTTTATTACAGTTAATAAACTATTACAATATACTAAATTAATTATCAGAGTCGCTACTATTACTCGTACTATCTATCTC